CTATTGTTGGGAGTTTGGTATATCTCACCATTACTCGTCCAGATATTGCATATACTGTTCATGTTGTTAGTCAGTTTGTTGCTTCTCCTACTACTGTTCACTGGGCAGCTGTTCTTCGTATTTTGCGATATCTTCAAGGTACAGTTTTTCAGAGTCTTTTATTTTCATCCACCTCTTTCTTGGAGTTGCGTGCATACTCTGATGCTGATCATGGTAATGATCCCAAAGATCGCAAGTCTGTTACCGGGTTCTGTATCTTTTTAGGTGATTCTCTTATTTCTTGGAAAAACAAGAAACAATCTATTGTTTCTCAATCATCTACCGAAGTAGAATATCGTGCTATGACATCTACTACCAAATAAATTGTTTGGTTATGTTGGTTATTTGCTGATATGAGAGTTTCCTTTTCTCATCCTACTCCTATGTATTGTGACAATCAGAGTTCTATTTAGATTGCTCATAACTCGGTTTTTCATGAGCGAACTAAACATATTGAGATCGATTGTCATCTTACTCGTCATCGTCTCAAGCATGGCACCATTGCTTTGCCTTTTGTTCCTTCTTCCTTGCAGATTGCAGATTTCTTCACCAATGCGCATTCCATCTCTTGTTTTTGTTTTCTAGTTGGCAAACTCTCGATGCTTATAGCTGCCGCATCGTGAGTTTGAGGGGAGATGTTAAATAATATTTATGTAGTCTTATTTATTAAAGGTAGAATAGTACTTTTAGTTTAATCTATATATACTTTATTTGTATTTAGATTAAGGTTAAGCATTCGTAGTATACAGATTATTCAGAATTCTAGCCTCCTTTTTATGTTTGATCTTAATTATTTTAACAGTAGTATCTATTAAAGGGGATTCAAAGGAAAAACAAATCTCCAAAAAATAACAAAAAAATTACCTGCATTTTCAAATGATTACCCCACGTTATTTTTTTTTCCATCCACAGTATCTTTTAAAAAATATCTTAAAAATATTAAAGTATTGGTTATAGGATCGCTGTGTCTATTTTATTTTCCGTAAAAAATCATTTAAAGTAATAATTTCTAAATAAATAGAAAGAGCTACTTTCTTCTCAGAAAAAAAGTCGAACATAAATAATAAATGAAGAGCAATAAACACTTGTGAAAGCTGGCTTCATTGATTACTGAGAGAGACAGGAGAAAATGAATTGAATTTCTTATGTTATTATCCATTACTCAATTTTCTTAAACAAACAAACCAGGGGCCAACTTCTATCTCATTCATGTTACACGTGGTCCCGCGCCAGTGGCCAGATCTACAATGGTCCGAGTGACCAATCCATATATTTGTTTTTATGTTTTAAACTATTTGTTTTTATTTTTCTATACTAATTAATTAATTTTTAACATTTTTAGATGATTTTTATTTTCTGATATCAAAATTATTTTTTAAAAATTAAAAAAATATTATTTTAATATTTTTATAAATAAAAAATATTTTAAAAAACATGTTAAAATAAACTTTAAACAAACTAACAAGTCTGACACGGAATTTGAGACCCACACAATAGATACGTCCTAAATTATTTTTACCGCGTCTAATCTATTATCATCAAAATTATCAAGAGCTGATCCAAATCTTCATAGATTAATTAAAAAAATTATTAATTTAATATTTTTTTAAAAACTAGAATGATATTAAATTAAAAAAATAAAGACTAAACTAAATATCAATCAAATCAATTGGGTTATATTAATAAAAGCAAGTTTAATCTTGGGATTCCATAATTCCATGATTCCATGATTAATCAAGAAAAGATGACCTGTAAGGTGTAGACTGCAAAAGGGAGAGAATATGGCTGTCCACCGTTCATTTAATCTTGACAAAGCAATCAATTGTTTATTTATTTATTAGTATTAATATTTCCAGAAGAGAAAAATAAAATAAAATAAAAAGGTGCTTCTGTCCTCCCTTTGCAATGAAAAAGTACACCATTGAGTACTTTGAGGAAGTTACAACTTTATACAAAAACTTGCACAAAGTTTTGCTATTATGCAAAAAGAAAAAAATATTTCCGTGCTGGATCATTCTGGATGACAATTTTATTTTATTTTTTTATAACATTTAAATTAATAATTCTTAGAGAATGTTAAAATCACCCTTTTATTTATTAAAAAAACACATGAAAAAAAGAAGAAGAGTGGATTACATCTTATTTAAGACTTTAATTCTAAAAAATACAGGTTTAAGATCATAATTTTACTATACTGATCAAAGTAGGTGTACAAGTGATTACCAGCGAAACTAGGTTCAGATTGCCTAGCCCGTGGATCCTTAATTTTTAATTAACAAAGTGTAATTTTTTATGTTAAATTAATGCTATTCGATTTATTGTATGGTAATATAACCTTTGATTGTAAATACAAAAGCTCAACTCACGAGTGAAGCAACAAAACATATTTAGAATATAAATATATTTGGTGCATACTCAATGCATTTCCACTTCCTTTAAAATATTAAAAACCAACCACGATCAAGTTCAGATTTAAATAAAAAAATAATTTAAAGTGAAAAAATTAAAAAATTTATTTTAGAAAAACACTTTTAAAATAAAAAAATTATTAAAATAAATAGTAACACACTCCTCGATAACTTTTTTGTCATTGCAAAGTTTAATATAGCAACGCATTTATCAAATTTAAAATGGATTGCATTTTTATATGTGCTGAGGCGTGCTCGGCATGAAAAAAAAAAGAAAAATCAAATCGATATAATTTAAATATTTTAGTAATTTTAATCTAGAAAATAAAAGGAAATGAAATACAAGTACACTCCACTAATTAATATTACGTCATCTTGACGTCCCAAACGAAGGTGGCTAAGCCTTTGCCACGCCTACAAGCTCTGCCTTGCAAGGGATCGTTTGGCTCAGCTTCAATTTAGCAAGTTAATAATCTGAAGTCACCATCGATGAAGCTCGAATCATGGGGGCTTCACTGTTATTATGAGCCCACAGTCCACAAAGAGTTTTGGAAGCATTGGGGGTTGGGTCAACAACCAGCAACACTCTTTGTTTTCTTGTGGCTTAGCGCTTGGACTCCAAAAATATCGCCCTCTCCTCTCCTCCTCCTCCTCTCCTCCTCCTCACTCTAGCCGCAACCTAGCTAGTTTTTTAAATTTATTCTTAGATTACACAAAAATGTTAAATTAAAGAAATTAAAAATGTTTTTTTGGGACGTAAAAATGAACACGCTCTTGACAAGACAGTGTTCTCTTTATATGTTTTTTATGTATGGACCAAAGCTCAACACCTCAGCCTCTCCATCATGCTTTAATCTCTTTTGTCTTGTTCTGTATTCTTGGCTTTCTCTCCCTCCTCCCTCTATCTCGACAGCGAGAAGACCGTAATTATTGTGTTCGCATTGACTTGATTTTTTCTTAATTATAACATGAAAGTAATAGATACAAGAAAAACCATGAATTTTAGTTTTTTATTTTTTTTCCGGTGAAACTTGTGAAAAATTATAGTGTATATAAATTAGCTAAATACTTTCAAATACATCACGCCTTATATCATCATATAAATAAATAAAATTAATTTTAAGAGGTATAATTTAATTAATTAAATTTTAGATTTATTTTTTAAAAAATTAAAAATTTAAATTTTATAAAATTTAAAGCTATTTTACTTTTTTATTTCTTTTTCCACTTAAACTTATGAAAAATTATAGTGGGTATAAATTAACTAAATACTTTCAAATACATCACGTCTTACATCATCATATAAATAAATAAAATTAATTTTAAGAGTTATTATTTAATTAATTAAATTCTAGATTTACTTTTTAAAAATTAAAAATTTAAGTTTTATAAAATTTAAAGCTATTTTGCTTTTTTATTTCTTTTTCCACTGAAACTTATGAAAAATTATAGTGGGTATGAATTAACTAAATACTTTCAAATACATCACGCCTTACATCATCATATAAATAAATAAAATTAATTTTAAGAGTTATTATTTAATTAATTAAATTCTAGATTTACTTTTTAAAAATTAAAAATTTAAATTTTATAAAATTTAAAATTATTAAAAATTTATATGATTATTAACTTTAAAATTTATGAAATTAATTAAGGTATGTACAAGTTAGTCCAAATATTTATATTAATTATAAAAATAAAAATAAAAATAAAAACATAAAAATTTATCCACCTCCCTGGGCCAACAAAGTTAATTACTTAACATACCAATCCAAATTTGGTTAAAATTAAGTTTATTTAAATTATTTTAAATATTAACAAATCAGATTCAAACCCGATTAACCTAACCAAATAATATAAAACTTAACCGGGTGAACTCCCAAGAAATCAGTGGAATTTTTATTTAAAATGATTTTGTAATGGGATTGGTCCGTTGGCATCAGCCCTTTACAAGATTAGATAATAGGATTTCAAGGGTGACCACTTTGGGATTTTCATGGGCAAAGGCCTCAGATGGTGTTTCTCAACAGGACCTGCTAAAAGGCTTGTTTTGGCCCATACATATAGAGCGTGAAAGCCCAACAGTATATGAACTGTAGTATTTTAAGACTTTAAATGTGAGTACAAGGGCAATATTTGATTTTTATAATACCAATTTTTAAGTTTGTTATTGGAGCACATGCTCTTATAATTTAAATTTATTAATGAAGATTATGTCGAGGGTTTTCATTTAACTCCCCATTTAAATATTATTTAAAATACCTTAATTTAATACTAAACCGTTAATTATCAAAAGGAAGGTGCCCTGCTACCCTACCTTCGATTGCAGGGCCCACCAGCACCCAAATTTCAAGCTTTTCAAACGTATAAAACAAAAGCGGAAAAGCAATCTATTTCCCGCCGCGAATTTAAAACACCCCAGCCACGTCATCAATCCTCGCAAATCCATACCCACCAATCAAACCACGCCTCCTCTTCCTATATGAACAAAGCCCCGTCACCAACCCCGTGCTACACAGATACTTCTCTCCCAGCGAAGAAAAAAAACGTTTCTCTGATTTTTGCGTGAAAATGAGTTCTAAAGGAGCAGCAGCAGCAGCATCTACAAGGGGAGGGAGAGGAAAGCCAAAGGCCTCCAAGGCTGTGTCAAGGTCCCAGAAGGCAGGGCTACAGTTCCCAGTGGGAAGGATTGCAAGGTTTTTAAAAACCGGAAAGTATGCTGAACGTCTTGGTGCTGGATCTCCTGTCTACCTCTCCGCTGTCCTTGAATACCTCGCTGCCGAGGTTCGTTTCCCTTAACTTCTCTAACTGGGTCTCTAAACTTGTTTTTAATCGCGGGTTCTGATTTGTGTTCTGGGGTTTCAGGTTCTTGAGCTTGCTGGGAATGCTGCGAGAGATAACAAGAAAAACCGGATCATACCGAGGCACATCCAGCTTGCAGTGAGGAATGATGAGGAGTTGGGGAGGCTGTTGGGGTCGGTCACAATTGCAAATGGAGGTGTTTTGCCTAACATTAACCAGACCCTACTTCCCAAGAAGGCTGGCAAAGGGAAGAACGGTGACATTGGATTTGCTTCTCAGGAGTTTTAGGGCTTTTGATAGGTTGTCATATACATTCCTTAGGGTTTTTCTATGTATTTTTGGAGTTGTCTAATGAAATTAAACATTTAGTTGCTTAACATCCTGCCCTTTTCTGCTTTGATCTTGAATTAGTATAATTGTTTAATTAATTAATCAATATAATTATATATGAATTATTTGGAATTAGTATAATTATTCAATTCTAATTTTTTTTTAAAATATGATATTGCATAAAAAACATTAGAAATTTTATCAAAGTAGTAAAGCTCCACATAATTTACATTAGGCCAACAAAGCAAAGCCCAAAAGCCCAACAAATTCCATTAAAAAAAAGCGGAAATCAAAAACAAAAAATTCAATTTCGCGCCGCGAGAGTGAAAACATAAGCCACGTCATCGATCCCAGTATACCTGAACTCACCAATCAGATCACACCTAGTCTCCTTATATAAGCAAACACCACCACCACTCCAAAAATCAATCACCTCTCGTTTCCTCTCCACTCTGTAGGGACCAAAACTAGGGTTAGGGTTTTACAGCGTTATATTTTGGTAAAATCATTTAATTTCAAGATGAGCTCAAAGGAAGGAGGCGCGTCTACTAAGGGAGGAAGAGGAAAACCAAAGGCATCTAAGTCCGTGTCGAGATCACATAAAGCAGGGTTGCAATTTCCAGTAGGGAGGATTGCTAGGTTCTTGAAGGCTGGTAAATATGCTGAACGTGTTGGTGCTGGTGCTCCTGTCTATCTCTCCGCTGTTCTCGAGTATCTCGCTGCCGAGGTACGTTTTCTTTACCTTTTGGCCTTTTGAGCTGTTTTTTTAATAGGGTTGATGGGTCATTTTCTTGTGTTATTGATTTTCGGTCAAAACAAAATCTCTCATCTAATTTAATTGAAAATATTGGTTTTTTCCTCTTGCAATTGTCGTGTTATTAATTCATAATTAATTAATAGATTAGACTTTAATTTGTCAATAAATTATTTGAAACGGGTGTTCGATTTTGATTAGGTGCTTGAGTTAGCTGGGAATGCAGCGAGAGATAATAAGAAGAATCGTATAGTGCCAAGGCACATTCAGCTTGCAGTAAGGAACGACGAGGAATTAAGCAAGCTATTGGGGTCAGTTACAATTGCTAATGGAGGTGTTTTGCCTAATATTCACCAGACACTTCTTCCCAAGAAGATGGGCAAAGGAAAGGGTGACATTGGATCTGCTTCTCAGGAGTTTTAGGCTTTGATATTGCTTGTATTTTTTTGGGAGTTATTAGGGTTTTCACAGCCTGTATTATATTCTTTTTGATGTCCTGGCTACATGGGGTTTTACTCTGCTGTATGGTTTTGGTAAAGCTGAGGCCTTTTGGAATCTACATCCAATGGAACTGCACTTTTCTCGCTTTAAATGCTCCTCTTCTGCTGCGATGATTGTTTGGAAAGCCCTATGACTTCTGGGCAAGCAATTCATAGTTTTACAACTTAGTTTCTTCAATCCTTTTGAAGCTATATGTTGCTTGTTCACTTCACTCGTTTTTAGTTTCACCCGACCGCTCATCCGTGATCGGTGAAAACCATTACTTTAAGACGGAAGGAATGCTTTACAGAAATGCAAATGCAAAATTAATGGGATCGCGGCAACTTGCCTAGAACTACCTTTCCATCCATGGCATTCTCATCATCACAGAAGCCAGCTTCCCGTGTCATAGCCTATACAAATCCGGATCTGGCTTCGAGATGAGGAGTCATGATAAAGACACTGTTTGGCGTGAAAGTTTGCTTCCCTCTCTGGGAGGTCCAACCATTTCACTGCTCTATCAAGCTGTTGCATAATTGCAAAATAGTAACAAAAGAATCCAACCCAACCTTCGCAACTTCAGAATGAAGGCCTTCTGAGCTTCCAAAAACCAGGTGCTCTGCCACAAATCCTCCTAATATTATGCATGGAAACATGTTCAGAGACTGCAGGAGGAAAGAAAGAAACCCCTGCTACAAGTATGATATGAATGCGGGTGTGCAGAGTTTGTTTGTTGGGAATGCTGAGCATTTCTAAAATCATAATTAAAATAGAATAACATGAACTTGAAGTTGGATTGCTAGCCAAGTAAGCTGTTTAAGCTTAAATATTCAACGAAAGCCAAGTCAATCTAGCTTTTCTACGAGCGTATTCAATTGTTTTTATCTACATTCGTATTGTCTATATCCGTCTTGAAAGTTTTTCAAGTTTGAGATGCTTTTCCCTCTAAAATTTCAAAGCAGTTCCATGAAATCCCCCATGAGATCACAAGATAGAAACTTGTTCCAGAGTATCTAGTAATACAGAGAGTATCAAGGATATTACTAGCAACATATGAGAATATTACAGCATTGCAGCTGTATTTCCTCAACATGTTTTAGTTTCAGGACAAGTTTGACAATGGTAGAGGCGCTAAAGAAGGAAACCAAGTTTGTCCTACTTGCAGACATAGAAAAAATGATCTTCTCCACAGGCAGAATCCCTGGCTTGATCATGCATCGAGCTTTCATGTTTTCTTAGCTGATCCTGTGAAAGATAATCAGACCAAAAAACCATCTTGGGTAAACATACAATTAATACGATGGATCGCTGAAAATTAATGAGTCGATCTCAAAGTATGAATGATATGAAACAACCGGCAAAGCTATCACCAAATGATTAACGGATACTTGAATAACTAAATTTCCCGACAAAATCTTAACTAGAACATTTCAAATATAAAAAATGTTTTACAAATAGAGAGAGACAGGCACTCTTTTGGCAGCTCCAAATTCACTGAGGCCACCAGGTTTGCCTTGCGTTTGCATGAGGTGAGAGATGACTTCAAATTGCCTCTCGAGAGCTTAAAATCCTATCTTTTATATTAAAATTGAAGAGGATAACTCTGCCATACGACGTCGTAAAACCTGAATTCTCTATCCGGACCTGACTCGGAAATTTCATTTCTTTAATGGGTTTTGCTAGCTAGCCAGTTTGGTTTGTAAGAAAATAAAGGCACGGGTTGAGTTGTATAGTAGTAGAAAAGTGTCAAACGATGTCGTTTTAGGTGATGGAGTTATATCCCGGTTGTGTGGCTGACAATTAAAAACATTGCATTTTGAGGTATAAAAAGGTTTTTATTTTGTGTCATCCATTTTTTTTTTATAAAAAAACTGTCTTGAATGGGCACAGTCGTGTATTACACAGGTTTAGTTTCTCCAAGATTGAGATTTTGCTCTAAAAAAATTGTGGGTTCTTCAGTTGGTGTACAAAGACAGCAAGTATTGGAGCAAGTGGACAAGGAGCTAAGTAAGGGAGATGAAAGAGCAGCACTCTCTCTTGTCAAGGATTTGCAAGGGAAGCCTGGTGGGCTTAGATGTTTTGGTGCTGCAAGGCAGGTTTGGCACCAAAAAGTTTCTCACCTTCTGTTTTTACTTATAGTTGTGGTGGTGCTTTGTCTTTCTGTCTGTGTTGAAAGAACCGTTTGCTTCCTTGAATGAGTAAATGAACTGTGCAGATACCACAAAGGCTTTACACATTGGATGAATTGAAACTAAATGGAATAGAGACAAGATCACTTTTATCTCCTGTGGATGCAACTCTTGGTGCTATAGAAAGAAATCTGCAGCTTGCTGGTGTTGCTGGAGGGCTTGCTACATGGAATGCATTTGGGTTGAGTCCACAACAGATCCTCCTTTTCTCCTTGGGGTTGTTGTTTTTGTGGACATTGGACTCTGTAAGTTCCTCATGCTTTTCTAAATTTGTATCAAAACCTACCCCCTTATTTATTATGTTACAGCAGGCAGCCTTTGGATACTGAATTTTCACCTTCAACAATGCATGCATAAATAATTAAATATAATCATGGTTTTGGTCCTACTTGCATACATTTGGTCGTAATTGTGATTTATTTGTCTGTTTAATTTCTTGTCCACTCGCTTTCAAGGATAAGGTTGTTTCCAAATTCGTTATGTTTCTCTATTGCAGAAGTTGTGCCTGCCTGCCTACACCTTTATGTGCTGTCAAAGATCACTTCCTCGCTATTTTCTTGTATAAAATTTTGAATGTTCTTTCTGAGCAAGTAGTGAGAACTTGAACCAGAATCCCCGAGACCCCTAGTCTACTGTCTATTGCTGCTATAAATTTACTTGTCTTGAACAAATATAAGTTGGCACCCTCTATGTTATTTTAGTGTCTAATCCAGTGGATTTTGTAGGTGTCTTTTAATGGAGGTCTTGGCAGCTTGGTTCTTGATACGATTGGGCACACCTTCAGTCAGAAGTACCACAACCGGGTTATTCAAGTAAGACCTCTCCTTCTCATATTGGTCCACACAGATATATGATGTTGAAATCTGTGCTGCTTGCTTATTTCAAGTCGTGTAACATTTTCACACAGACCCAACTCAGAGGGTACTAGTATTGATAGTATGTATTCTTTTATCAGTGCTCCATGTCTTCAGTATCGATGGACATCTGAATTCATGTTAATGGAAGTGGTTTCTGATATAACAAAATAACTTCTTTCCAATTTCCCCACTTTTCTTCCTGCAGCATGAAGCTGGCCATTTCCTGATTGCCTACATGGTGGGCATCCTTCCAAGAGGTTATACACTTACAAGCCTGGAAGCTTTACAGAAGGATGGATCTTTCAATGTTCAAGCAGGGACTGCTTTTGTGGATTTTGATTTTCTTGAAGAAGTAGGTTGGCTTTAGCGATTTGAATTTTGTTCTGTGATATTTCACTACCCTGCATTTCAACAGTCTCATATACTGCTTCCATCGTGTTGTATATTAATTCATCTTAATTAGCTGCGGTGGATGGGTCACTTTTATTATTTTCCTGTTTATTGTCAGCTCATGGCATTTCTTAAGTTGCCTTAGCTCTCCAGCAATTAGATAAGCATTTCGCAAGGAATCAAGGGTTCTGAACCATACTTAACTGTTCTATTCCAGCTCCAGTCTATCAAGTAGCAGAATTATGGACCCTTTGGAAAGTGTGTAATCAAGGGTTCTGAATCATACTTAATTGTTCTATTCCAGCTCCAGTCTATCAAGTAGCAGAATTATGGACCCTTTGGAAAGTGTGGACACAAAGTAGTGGTGCTACTTGAACAATCTAGGACCTATGAATTTATGGAAGCATGAAAGTTTTGACAGATCAACTTTACTTGCAATTTTTCTTCTGGAATTCTCACATTGTGAATTGCTATTTGCTACAAAACTGCATGCTTTTTTGCTGATCAGGTTTCAGAAGGAACATTATTTTGAAATTATTTATTCTTGGTATTGCCGCTGATTCTTCCACTTTCCATGGCACACAGGTTAATACAGGAAAAGTATCAGCTACGGTATGTAGTTGACTTCTTAACTTCAGATTTTACTGCTTGTGAGTGAAAGACAAAATTGAATATTGCTGTAGAAATGATTAAGCTCCTTGGACGTGATAATTATTCTTACATGTGGACTTCGGATGTTCTTCTAGACTCTGAACAGATTCTCCTGTATAGCACTTGCGGGTGTAGCGACCGAGTACCTTTTATTCGGATATGCCGAGGGTGGACTTGCTGATATAAATAAGGTCTGAGCAAACCCTCAGATTAATCGTTTTTGGAGTTCTGTAATGACAGGTTTCGTCATGCAGAAATCTCAGGAATATGCAAATATTGACTTTAACTATGGAACCTTATCATTTGCTTATTGCACAGTTGGATATGTTAATCAAGGGCTTAGGCTTCACTCAAAAGAAAGCAGATTCCCAAGTCAGATGGTCTGTCCTGAACACTATCCTAATGTTGCGTCGTCATGAAGGAGCCAGAGCAAAACTTGCAGAGGCCATGACAATGGGAAAATCTGTAGGATCTTGCATCGGCATTATAGAAGATAATATAGATGGTGCAGATATCTAGTTGCTGCTGGGTTTACAGCCACTGTTGCTTCCTGGAAATTCAATCCCGCAACAATTTTCTAAACAAATTTTGTCCTCTCTTGTAAACTGCGTCTTGCTGGATTTCATACGTAGAGACTCCTATCTGTAATACTTATTGTAAATCATTTAGACCATTCATAATTCTATGTCAATGGGCTTTGAATCCTCTCTTACCCACATGCCAGTTTCCCAACTTAAATAAAAGAAAATTAGAAAAAAAACAAACCTTTTCTACCGATAATTTAATTTTTTTCATAGTGAAACTTGCTCTTAGAAGTTGTTGCAACTGGTTTCCTTGTTTCTTTGCTGGAACTCGTAACAGAAATAGTTATGCTTCATGTTCTGTTGCCAGCATTGCTGTAGTACTGTGTTGCTTTAATTTTTTGATAATGTTTTGTTTTAAATTTCAGGGAATGATGTTGAAACTTCAAATTTCTGTTTTAATTTTTCACTTTCATTATTAGTTTTCTGGTGTTCACAGTGGCTGCTGAGCTCGTACAGCACTCAATTACTTCTGATGGTGTTTCTTGCCATTATTTCTCTATTGTTGCCTGGATTCTTTAGCTACCATGCCAGCCTCTGTCTCACAAACACCACAGCAAATGAGGTCTATATCATATAATTTTGCCTTTCTTATTCATACATGATTAGCCCTTTCTACAACTTTTTGGCCTCACTGCAGCAACTTTACCCGATGGGTAAAAGAAGGAAAAGTCAACAATGAGAAGCCACAAAAACGACTACAGATATGAAAATTCCCTGCTTCCTCTATGGAACACCAATTATCTCGGGAAATTCCTGTGGAAGTTGTCCTTTCCCTTCTTCATGCCTCCTAATGTCAGAATCCAACCATGAGTTCGCCATAACCATAGCAGTTTAACTTAGAAACATCTAAAGCCAGAAAATTCTTGATTATTGGGCCGATGATATCCCAGTAGGATGAGCAGCGAAGCAAAGCGTCCGGAAAGCAAATGAAAATCCCTATTCCGGATACCCCCCTCGAAGATACTCAGGTCGCTGCCAAGGAAAAAATGTATGGCGAGGGCTTCTTTCACAACTCTGTTGAGGTATATAAATTGTTTTCGACTGTTTTTTCACTTATTAATTATATATTATATTTAACTCCCCATCCTAGAAATTGGGGATGTAGCTCAAATGGTAGAGCGCTCGCTTTGCATGCGAGAGGTACAGGGTTCGATCCCCTGCATCTCCATCTCATTTTATTTTTGTTTAAACGCCTTACCCAGCCATAATTCAGCTGTTAATAGCGTGTTTAGTGATTATTTTTAAATTAAAAATATATCGGGCGTGTGCCCCAGCTCACCAGCATTTTGTGACATAGGACACTTATAATATGATTTTTTTTTTTTAAAATGAATAAGTCAAATGAGTGTTTTTTTTAAAATAGATATATTTTCTAATTCAATTACTGAATTAAGATAAAATTTAAATAGAATTTTTTTCCTTAAAAAATCATATCTATCCAATCGAGGCCTGAATCATGCTCAATTTAAGTTTGGAAGTTGCTCTTCCAGACTTTTTTTTACATATATATATAAATTTTGTTAGAATTCTATTTAATTCTATAAAGAGTTTTTACGTATATATATTTTAAATGCTAGTTCTACATTTTATAAGAAATTACTAATTTATTAACTATTCATCATATTTTATGATTTATTGCATTTCTCATTTTAATTTATAAAAAATATATATTTTGGAAGAAAAAAACAAGAAAACTAACATGCCATCTATATAAAAATACATGTGCACGCGAGTGGATGACTGGCCATTTATACACACATAGTTCTCCATTTTTAATGCCAAAATCACAAGCATTTCTTTTTTAAAAAATAAAATGGAAACAATAGAGTAAAAAATATAAAAACATTTATTTAGGAAAATGTATTATGGTGTAGAAATAATGTGGAAAAATTAAAAAGGGATAAAATCTGAAAAAAAGAATCAGATTTGTTTCCTAATTTCCTAATACATATTTCTTAACACGAACAAACTTCGGTTTACGCCCGATATGTGCAATATTTGAGGAATTTTGGCATGATTCCAGAGAACAAGACTCTCTAGCAAACATGACGAGCATGTGGTTGGATATCTCTAGACCTGAAATAGGTCAAAAACTGTCCAGGCAGCTCTTCCAAAAGAGCTTGAACGACAGAAATCTGGCCACCTGCTCAAAGCACAATGAACATATTAGCTGAGATTTCAAGAATAAAGAGAATAGACAGAAGTAAATTAGTAGCACCAACTTTTGAACCCTATAGTCTAAGAGATGAAATTGCTAACGGTCACTTGCATTCAAGCATGAATGAAAGACTCAAATAGGTCAAACAGGAGCACTCAGCTTATAAAAGATAGAAGCAAAGTATTCCCTCAGACATCAGGATACACAAGAAGTCAGCTATGTTACGAGTAGACTCTCAATAAATAAGGTACGTGTAAGAGTGGCTAGTCAGTTTGAATGTGTGCCTCCATCTGGCCTTTCTTTGACTCTTCAAAAGCGATTTTGTGCTGTTAATTATATGATCTTTATCCACCAGACAGACAGCATCTCACTTCGAACTGCAAATCATGGTTTCTAAATATTGTCTACTATCCAATAGTATTTATAAACGAAGGCCGCAATGAATTGCATTCAGCCACCCAACTTTAATTTCCAACAATTTAGACCTTTAATTTGTCAGTCTGTCCCATAAAGACGACAAAGCTTGACCAGCTTTTGGTTCATTCAAATAAGTTTTCAGGGATAAAAAAAAGGTGGCATCAATTATACTCACTGTTCACTTCTCGCATTGGGACAAATTGTACAATATCTCGTGTAGCCACCCGACCAGTAGAACTCTGTAATCGTTCTCCATTATCAGCATCAAGGATCTGCAAAAGAACAAGATTTAGAGCATTTTCGTTTCGATGCTGAGATTTCTAATCGGTGCAGATGAGAGCTCTCTGCCAAATGTTCAAAATTGTTCTACCCACGAAGCAAATTTATGGCTTGGTGTAAAGATTACTGAAGAAAAGCACACCTCCATTTGTGTAAAGTCTGCACCTCCTACTCCAACTATAAGAATTGATAGAGGAAGATCAGATGCCCTCACCAAAGCATCTTTAGTTTCTTGCATATCTGTGATAACTCCATCCTAGGAAAGGTGACAACTTATTTATTACAAACATAGAGGCAAACAAGAGAAAAGGGAAAACAAGGTTATAGCTCACTTTACCGTTATAATGAGCAAGACAAGATACTTGCCATTGTTGTTTGAGACAGACTGACCAGCAATTTGTGCTGCCGTGTTGATCACTGGTCCAAATAAAGTGGGTCCAGAAAGAGAAACATTGTGTAGAGCAGTTGCATAAGCAGCCATGATGCCTTCAACGCCCTCGACCTGTTAAATAAAGAAAACAACTGTTCTTTAAAGGGCTTTGAAAGATTAAACAAGAAAAAGGAAATCTTGTGGTAGCTTTGGAGAAACAAGCTTATATATGCAATCCAATTCAATAACTGTAAGGATAATCAAGCATTTCAATTATCTTCCTACCTCAAAGCTTGCACTGCCATTCAAGTTGAAACAATGAGATACTGTTCCGGCAGGTGTCTTTCCTCCAAAGCCCCATGCAGGAAAACGCCTATCAGAATCATAAAATTGTATGACCTGCCCGGCTTCCATTATAGCCTGCAGATAATTGTCGATCAGCTTAGCAGCCAATTCATTCATGAATTATATTTTCTTCTAAACAGCAAAAGGAAGTCCACAAAACAAGAATAAAAGCTCATTCTACACCCACTTAAAAGCTTGTTTTCGGCTTAATTTTGCTTTGAATAACTGAATATACAAGAACCAAATAATGAAAGTAGAGTTTTTGACCATGTTCTTGACTAGTTACTACTCAGTAATCCACATAATACTTTTTTGGTGGTGAAGTCTCTATGCACTTACATGCATTATTCATCTTATTTGTTCTGTTTGGTTTTAATAATTCTGATTCCCCTATAGATAGAAGTCTTTCAGGTGAAAATATTGGTGAAGAGTGGGAAGTGGTCTTATCGAGAAGAATTCCAAGAGGGGGAACATCTTGAACGATCGAACAGTTCAAAAACATGTCAGTAGGCCAAGGGTACAATGTAGTGTTATCATTCTAATATATCTCAATTATAAATCTCTTGAGAATAATTACTACCCGTTGTAAGAGCAACAAAATACCACTGCCTCACCTGCTGGTAAGAATTCAACCGGCCTGAAGGATCTATGTAGTGCAAGGAATCTGGATTTCGAGGATTTCCATTTGAAGCTGAAAAAAAGATTATCCAATGCATGAAACGGATATCAAACTAGAGAGGAAAGAGGTGAGGGGAATAAAAAGTTATCAACAGCAAGACAATCAAACTTTATTTACCCGTAAAGTCAACAGCAACCATAAAATTTAGCTCAAAGCCACTCGAAATATAATCCAGAAAACTATACTGTTCCTTCTCCAAAAATCGATCCACAAACAGCTGACCCTTCAGCACCTATTACGCAAGGAGCAATTAGCAAAGCCAATAAAATTGTATATTAGATTGCATGCATAGAAAGCATTGACCTTCTCACGATCATGGCTGGACGGTATAACGAAATTAGCACCATTTTTTTCTCTGTGAAGAGTTTCCAGGTCTGCCACTGATTTCTGAAGCTTACTGAGGACATAAATAAATAAAAATGTATTAATATTGGTGCCAACCACTAAATTATGTTAACACGATGAAAAAGTAAACAACATAATAAAAGCCAAAGGGAAAACAATTACCCAATTAGCACATGATTTCCACTGCTGTTGAAATCAAAGCACTCAATAACAAGGGGGGTTTCCTGTATCAAAGTGAAACACTTTAAGCTAACCTGAATAAATAATGATATCAAGCACTCAATAAACTTTAATCTATCATCTACAATAGTTTAAGACATGACACCTGCCTTGCTCCCAAATTGCTGCATACTTAGGCATAGAGGCCTCCACATTGGATTCAGATTGTTGTTCACCACCTCAGTCTTGCATATAGGCACAGAACCTCCACCCTCTACCATTCTAGATATTCTTAAGAAGGGGTCCTATTACAAAAAAGAAAAAAAACTGAGATCTAATATAGATGACAAACATTAACACTCATTTCTCATTACTTACACTCAGGGAAAATAAATCTTTGTTAGCCAAGTGACAACACCGTAGTGTTAACTCGACAGTAGTTCTTGAAGCAATTGTTTCCTCTGCATGGACAGTGAGAGTCCCTAACTTTCGGAGGAATCCATGCCCATTTCTGTTCTGGAGTTGAATAGTTAATGTACGATTCTGTCTTGTCACTATCTGCCAAATGCAAAAATAAATGTAAACAGTGGTGTCAAGTTCATGAAAAAAAGTCTACGAAAATGACAGTAAGCCCGTCCAAAATGATTATACAATGGTGAGAACAACATTCAGATTAGTTCCAGTTGCATCAATGGTCATCTAAAACAAGTAGTGCAAAGCTTCACAAGCAAAATTGTTGAAGCAACAAATTAGTTTCATAATAGCTCCCTTGTGCTTTTAAATATCGCCATTACTTAATGTAAAACCAGCTGCATTTTACGGTTTTGCTGTATTATAGCTGTTAGAGAATAATATAAATCATATTTTAAAACCTCACCTAATGCATGCATTCTACTTTGCATAAACTCCACAAGCAATATCACATTAAAAGGAACTTACCTCAGACAAAACACAGTTGGCTTCTCCCAAAAATTCCTGATCCTTCAACTTCAGTGACTGAGAGGCAATAGAGAACAGTTTTTAAAATATAAACATCACCTTAAGAAAAATTTGTCTCACTATTTTGTGAGAGGCTAATTTGTTCTGCCACTTCCATTTTAATTCTTTTTATCTCATTTTCCTCTCACTAAAATTTGTTGGTGTTATGATCCAAAATGTTTGTGCTTGATATCTCAAACATGATAATTTCATATTCCTTTTTTTCAACTGAGGGTGGCTTCTCACTGTTATGAATCTGGCAGAAGTTATCTGGTTATGCAACTACTATGATCAATCACGTGAATTGCCTGTTTCCAAACTGCTTTCAGCAAGTCTTTGCTTTACAGTAGTTTGCGAAACAGATTGCGGACTGAATTCTCAGAGCTTAATCAGTTGATATGCCAGAACTGTGTACCATTTGAATGCATTTAATTATGAGAAAAGTAACCAAATAATAGAGAAAAATTGGAAGAAGAAACTGCCATACCTTCACTGGTTTATTGTGATAGCTGGTATCCACATCATAGACATGAAAGCTAAAAGAGGGCACAGACAGAATGTGAGTTGAAAACTCCAAACAAAATAACATTTAACACAATACAGAAAATGTTAGGAGATATGCAACTTGAAAACCAGCATTTGGAGAGATTGAGCAGAACTTACACAAGTGGCTGAACCATCTCAAATTGATAAGCAATTGTAATCTTTTGAATCCAAGTAGGATTTAAGTTGTTCAAAATGACTTCTGTTCTACCGACTTCCTCTAGCTTCCCATCCCTTTTCTTTGCGAACAAAACTACCATTGGGTCACTCTACAACACAGATCTTTTTAGTCAAGATCACAGAACACAAGCACTGCCAACTATCTGACAAAAATGCATATTTGCAAATAAACTGAAAATGGAGTCTCCTGATCCCTCTATTTTTTCTCTCGACCCTGGACATCAACCATAGCAAGAGGCCTTCAAAACCCTGCCCAATAATTTCTAATCTAGAGCAGACACTAATCCTTGGACCATGGTCAAATAAGCTGGAACACAAAAAAAGAAGCCACGCAGCTAGTTGAGACATGGGATATAAATACATGATATCTGGATAAAAATCTTCCAACTTTGGCATGCATGGAAGAGTTACAAGGCAAACAATAAAGAGGATCAGACGATCTGAGAAAAGGATAAGAAGGCGGACCCATGAAAACATAACAATTTGGCAGGTTACCGCAACATCAAAAGGACAAGAAATATGCATATAAAGTTCACCGTATTACCTTGGATGTGATGTCACGATCAAGCAAGTTTGATGCTGATAAAGACAACTGCAGAGCATATTTGAATAGTGGGAATACATCTTGAGGTAACAAAAATAAGTTCATAAACTAACAGAAAAGATAGACACAGATATTGAAAGAAAAATATCTTTGCACATGGAGCACCAACAGCTATAAGCAAAGAATTTCCTGCATCTTGGCTAATTGGGTGCACAACATTCATGTCTTGAAAAAGAAGATAGTATCCATTGTTTATGAGAATACTAGAAACTATCATATATTTTTTTTTATTTTTAGATTAACGTGGGTGTCCGGGCCAGCTTGCGCACACCACTCTCATCCTTAATCATATTCGTCATGAAGGCGAACCAAATATTCACTTTTTCTGGAACACTAACACGTTGCTTCAAACTACAATCCAGTGACTATTGTCTATTGTTGTACTAAATCTATTTAAATGTTAACAATGTAGCAGCATGCATATAAATGCTTGTCCATTTAACAAAAGGTACAGCATGAATGGGTGTTCGGAGATTCAAGACCAACCTATTGCTCGTGTCAAGCTAAATCGAGGGAAAAAAAAAAGAAAGTAAGAAAGAAGCTAACACAATAAAGGGCCTAGGGGCTGACCATGCGAAGGCGCCAAAGAAAAGTCAACATCAATTAAAATCAAAAGCATCTGCAGGTTATGTCATGAACAAAAAGGATAAAGAAAGTTTTTAAGCATGTTCTATTAGCAATGAATTGTCAACATTCATATTTTACAGAGAGATTTAAAAGTTAATTTTTGTCTCATTCCCAAAAGCTTAGTCATATTTACAAAGTGTTCATCTTCATGTGTTTTGTTTGGGGAAGCAACAGCTAGGAGATGAGTAAAGTCAGAGCATGTGGGGCAAAGGTGATACAAGACTATTCAACATTAAAAAAAACATGCATTATCATATCAATTAATAAAGCAAATCACAAACAAATTTCTGCACATGTTCCATCTAGCTTCTTCAACCTGTTGACAATTCTTTTACCAACATTGAACGAGGACACCATGATACACACTCAACGTTGCTCGGAAGGCCCACATGGCTTCATTTATAAAAAATCTCTAAGTTACATCCACCTTAAAACAAAACCACTGTTCTATACAAGAATTCTCCAAACCAAACTACACAGAGAATCAATAAACCAGACAAAACGGTTCTGCGCCTGTATCAAGTTAATGTCACTGAATATTAGAGGCAATAGCAGTGCACCAAGCATATCCTTAGAGTTTTTTCCATTCCCAATTTGATTTCTGGTTTTTTAATCACAATTTCATTTAAATTTAAAGCTCGCTCCCTTCACTCTCCAACCATCCTCTGTTTTAATACAGAGGCTTAGGGTTTCTTTAAAGTTTAAACCAAGACCATAAAATTTCATAAACCCTTTACTTTTATGAACAGTAAAAAGAAATTCCATGTCAAAATTTACAACCTAGATGACATGTTTTAGAAAAAAAATCACATTGGCAAAAAGAGAAGGTCCAGTTAAAAATAATTAAAAACAAGAATCTAAACAGAACCTAACCCTAAGAAAATAATTAACAATGAATTACTTCTAATTATTAAACTAGCAAAGACAGACTCAAACTTCTTATCTTTTCTTTCTTTGAAGATAAAAAAAAAAAAAAAACTAAACTAAAAGTCAAGTAAAGATTAAAAAATTCATCAATGCTGAGTGACATTCACAGCACAATTCTATGAAATATAATAAATTAATAATACATAAACACGCACGCCAAGCCTTACATTGTTTTTTTATTAACACAAAACGTCGAAACGTAACGCATACCTCAACTTGGGTAAAAAGAGCCTGTTGGCCATTGGACTTGAAGAAGAAATCAACAGCATCATTGTGGGAAGCATTGTTGTTACTGTTGGGATTTTGCTGAGATGTCCCTCCTATTGCTTGTTTCCCTCCTCGTACATCAGAAAAACAAAGTCCCATCTCTCTCTCTCTCTCTAAATACTTACAGCACAAAAAACCTTAAAATTTTCTCTTCAAAAGGGCCAAGAACTCTCTCTTGAATCCTCTGTTCTGGAGCCCTTATAACAAGTGCATGCATTTATAGACAAATACCAGAATATTTGTTGCACAAAAACTCGAAAACCAGAGAGTATTTCCAAGAAACACAGTAAAGCAAAAGATAAAGTCTTTATTACAAGTAATTACACCTCAAACGCTTGCCATTGTAAGCATTGTTTCCATACAAAGAGGAAATTTCCCGACACTTTCTAATAGGAAGTGATATTTGATCAAGGAAGGTAATAAATTAATTGGGTCAATGTAGAAGTCAATAAAATTTTTGAATATGATAATTATAGGAATGATAATAGTATGAATATATATATAAATGTCAATAGCATGATAGGAAAAAAAAACATGTAAATTGGATTAAGTCAGGTATTAATATTATTATAATTAGGATATTAAATTAATTAACAAAAATTATACATGATATTTTTTTTTGCTATAAAACTTAGGGTTAATATGTATTCTCTATCTTTATTTTTTTTTTCAAACGAAAATAATTAAATGCTAACGAGAGGTGTCTCAAATGATTGATATTTAGAATACTTTCTCACAATAGATATTTAGTTTTCATATTCCAAAAAATAAAAAATAAAAAAAGAAAAATATTATAAGCATACATACGCATGCATCCGGTTAATTTCTTACGTTATTAATGTTATGCTCATTATGGATCAATAAAGGTATTAATCAGCACCCAAGGCATTGGCCCAGCGGTGGTAGGCGTCTTGCGCCTTCCGCTGCCATGGGTTCGAGCTTTGGAGTTGCATGCTTGTCAACCCCGCGCTGCCTTACCTGCTTGCTGGGTTTGCAGGGTGTTCAGTAGGTCGTGAGGATTAGTCGTGGTGCGCGTAAGCTGGCCCGGACACCCCACGTTAATAAAAATAAAATAAAATAAATAAATAAAGGTATTAATCATCTTAGTTTGAATTCAGAAGAGGTTATAAGAAGAAATTCTTGTGAGATATCAGTACTTCTGATTCAATTAGAGAGTGATTTAGTTTCAATATATAACAGTTAATTAATCCAAAGATATCCCACCAATAATAATCATAATTAAAAAAAAATAAGGAAGAAGAAAAGGCCAGGAGAGCCAATATTCCAATAATAGTAATCCAAGGGGTTTTGAACGATATTATAATGGTCATGAGAGACCTCGGAAATCAAAACTGTGTTCTTTGAATGGACTTTTCACCACGTGCTTGAAAAACTTTACGAGGAGGCTGAAAAATCACTGTAGAAAGATTGTGACCATAAAACCTGAAGAATTTGATGTTTTTTAGTGTTTACTATAAACGCGTCACGCGTTGTAATTTTGAATTCTACTTTTAAAAAAATATTAAAAAATTAAAATATAAAAATATTAGGTATTTTTATAAAATTATACCTAATAATATTGGGTTTGTCTGCTAAGCCTGATTCAAAAGTTATATTTATAATATTAATAATAATATTAAACTTACATGATCTAATTTAAGTGAATTTGGTTGTAATATCAAATCCGGAGTCTTGGATATGGATCTGGTTGCAATGCCATATTATAAATGTGTGATAGTTAAAAAGGAAAAAAATTAATATTATAGAATAAAATTAAAAAAAAAATAATTAAAAAGAAAAAACAATAAAGAAAAGTATTACTTCGATGAATATTGCTTTGCAAGGAGGGGTATATAAAATCCCCTCATGAGATTACAATAATCTAATGAACAGTAAACAAAATAAATCATAAAGTTTAATTTTTAATCAAATCGATATTAAAAGATGAAATTAAAAGAAAAAACCACTTAAAAAAAAATCTGAATTAATTGGTTTAATCCGTCAAACCTGAGATTTGTGTCATCAAATTAAAAGAAAAAAGGTTGATACCTTTTAGTTATAGTTAATTACGATATTTAAAGATAAAATTAGAAGAAAATAATAATAATAAAAAAAAAAAATCTAGGTTAGCCCACCACATCAGGTTAAACTATCAATTTAAGATTCATGTCATGAGACGGTGATAACTAAATAGCAAAAATTAATATTAATAAAATAAATTAAAAAAATATTAATTAAAAAACAAAGGAAAAAAACTAATGAAGAAAAAAATCTAAATTAAGTGGGTTAACCCGCCTAATCTGGTTAATCTGTTATACCTGGAATCCGTGTTATAAAAGATTAATAACTAAATAAAAAAAACTTAATATTAACAAACTAAATTTAAAAAAATAATTAAAATAAAAAAAAAGGAAAAAAAATACTAAACAAAAAACATATTCATTTAAAAGAAAAAAAAACTTATATGAAGAAAAAAATTAATAAAAAAATAAAAAAAATCTAAATTAACTAGAAAATTCCTTCAAACCAGTTAACTAGTCATACTTGAGATTCTTATCATAAAAGTTTAATAACTGAATAGAAAAAAAAAATTACAGAATACCTTAGAATTAGCTGGGTTAACCCGTTAAATCCAGAATTTGTGTTATGAAAGTTTGATAACTAAATAGAAAAAAAATTAATATTAACAAACTAAATTAAAAAAATTAATTAAAAAGAAAAAAGAAAAAAAACTACTAAACAAAAAAAAATATTTTAAAAGAAAAAACAAAGAAAAAAAAGCCTACATGAAGAAAAAAACTAATGAAAAAAAATATATGAATTAATTGGGTTAACTCTTCAAACCAAATTAACCCATTAAATCTAAAGTTTGTGTCATGAAAATTTGATAACTGAATAAAGAAAAACATTTACAGGTTAACCCAAAATTAATTGAATTAATCCCTCAAACCCAGAATTTGTATCTTGAAAATTTGATAACTAAATGAAACAATTTAACAATAACAAATTAAATTAAACAAAAAAGTTAATTAAAAAGAAAAACCAGAAAAAAATTCGAGTTAACCCATCAAACACGGAATTTATGTCATAAAAGATTGATAATTAAATAGAAAAAAATAACATTAACAAAAAAATTAAACAAAAAAATATTCATTAAAAAAACAAAAAGAAAAAAACAGCTTAAAAAACAAAGAAAAAAACTAAAAAAACTAAAAAAACAAAACAAAAAAATGACATCTTAGCATTTTACCATAAACTGTATTATGCAATGCACAGTAAAACATTAAGCAATATTAATATATATATTATAATTTAGGTGATTTTCTTTAAATTTTAATATTCATTAAACTTTATATCAAATTTGTGTTTTTAAATATATGTTATTTATAAATAAAAAATCTAGAGAAATAATTTCTGACAGTTTTTTTTCTAGAAATATAAAACTATATATATGTATCATCATCACCTGCTAATTGCACTTTGCTATGACATATGACAAAAACATCATATGATGATAAAAGCATAGGAAAAAGCAAAATGCCATGCGTAGGAAACCTCGCGGAATTCATATGAAATCTATAATTTAATAGGGACCATTTCTGTGAAATAATGAAAGGGAATTTCCTTCCTTTCATGCAAGATGTCGTCATCCATGGGAAAAACAAGAACATGGAATCCCATCAACACTTCTTGAAAGCTTTTTTCAGGTCTTTTTGCTTTTTACAAAGAAGTTTCACTGTTTTGACCTCTCTCATGCATGCATGTGGACTCGCATGTCCTTATCAAGCTTGATATTAGATCAATCAGAAATGTTTTCAGTACGAGAAGTAAATCGGTAATATATTAATCTATAAACAGGTTGGATTATGATTTTAATTATGTCAGTTTTTCCAGTAATTTCTATAATTTTGCTGTCATGATCATAGGAAAAAACATGTATAAATAAACAAGGAATCCTATGTATATATCATCAACAAGTCTTGAAAGCTGTGACCAGTGTCCTTTCATCCAATAAGGTAACTAGCAGCTAGGGTAGGAATAACTGTAATATATGAGGTTCATGGAGGAGATCTTCACTTTCACATATCACAACAGCTAGCTAGCTAGTCTGCATAGAGATTAATTCCCTCAACACCATATATCACCACAAGATTGAGCCAACAGTGCAGAAGCGGGTTTAAAGATTCAATTACAAACCTGCAATTAATCCATGTTAATTCTGTTGAAGAAAATTAATCTTTTCCTGCATCTTACCCGTGTGGGTGGCTCTGGACGACTCAACTCGATGAGTCTTACAAAACGCGGGAGAGCAGAACTCTTTGGACCCAGAATAGATAAGATAAAAATATTAAACTTCTTCGTGGAATTCGAGGAAGACTTTCTTCTGCTGCTTCTTCTTTTGAACGCCTTTTTTGCGACGAAGTTTCACGGTTTTGACCCTCTCGTGCATGGAAGTGGAATCGCCAAGATCGATAACGTGGAGGCAATATACGATTGAATTGTGGATATATGAGTGGGATCGAAGGATCTCAAATATATTTTGATATTGAGGTAGACACATGCATGCGTGTGGTTTGCTTGGTTGAGCAGAATGGTGCAACAGGAAGCATGGAGTCCACCCTAACTAGCTTGGGACTCCTTGCTGTCACGATAATTAGTTCAGCAATTTCAAGTTCAAGTTGCTCAAAATGATTTTATATCCCTTTTTAAAACACTCCCTTAAATAAATATCATTTTAACTTGGAACATGTAAAAACTAATTATACTATTATATTTTAATTAATTATAAGAGAAAGTAAAGGTGGTAGGATTTAATTCTTAACGATTTGGTTAGCACAACTCTTATTTGAATAAGATTTTAAAATAGTTTTATATCACTCTTTAACGAGGGATGTATAAATTACAAGAAATAAACTATTGAAAGTTATAAGCTATATAAATATTTCAATAAATTGTAATTCAATTTGGCATCAGGGTATCATTCTTTTTTTAAAAAAATGAAAATCAAATTAATTTCCCTTGAATTTGTAACAAATTAAATATACACACATTAATATGATGATTGAAGAACTGTCATTTTCTGCTCGATGTTGTGTTAATTATATATATAAATATATAGGTTTACCTATTTCAACACTCCATGTGAAAATTAAAGGGAATAACCCATTACCTAATACTACTAAAATACTCAGTAAAGTTCATGGAGCTTTAGTATTCATGCCAGTAAAACACTCGGTAGAAGTCAAGAATTTCATTATTTATATGAATAGTAAAGCTATTCTATTTTTTAAAAAAAATTCCTTTTCAATTACATGCGATAATAAAAGTAGCAAAGTAAAACATAAAAAGCAGCAAAATAAAATGCGAAGACAATATATAGTTAACCCAAATTTCATAACAATTTAATTATATTTTGATATAAAATTTTATTTTGTTTATTTTTAATTTCTAGATTAAAAAGAAAAGAGAAAAACTAATTGGAAAATGACAAATAAAAGAAGAAGTTGTTGTTTTTAGGATTCTAGCATTTAAAATAACCAAACTTGGTGTAAAATAATCACACCTGGTAAAAAAAAGTTTGAAGGTGGTGATTTTTTCTCTGAACATGAGAGTATAGGCAAATTGAGCTTGGTTTTGATTTTTTCAATTTATTTAATTTTTATTTTTTGAGTCATTTTAGGTTGTTTTGGGGTTGTTAAGTGGTTTTTAATTGTGTTTTTTAGGTGTTGTTAGATAAAAATAGATTTTCAAAAAAAAAAAAACATTACCTTGATTTTTCAGCTATTATAATAAGGACTAAATTTTGAACTAGCCATAAAAAAACAATGTTGTTGTTTACCAAAGCAAGCAACACAATACTTGTTTCATTTTTATTTTTTTGTAAGAAAAAAATAAGGAGTGGATAATAGGTTAACAACCCTTAAAAAAGAAAAAAAAAGAAAAATGATTCAAAGAAATTGACTTGATGTAGGCCTACATACCTAGGCTTGTTTTAGGACATGTGCATTGGTTCAACTAGACCTACATACCTAGCTTGATTATTTTTTTATATTTAATTTTTAATTTTTAATTTTATTATTTAATATTTGATTAATTTTAAATTGATTTTTAAATTTTTTTATCAGATAATTAAATAAAAAAATTCATGAAACCCAATGAAATCTATAATTTAGGTAATAGATTTAGTAAATTAACCCAAAATTCCAATATATCTTTGTTTTAATATTTTTTTAAAAAAATATATCACCTTAAATTATTTCTAAAAAGTCAAGCCATTTGTTTTTGTCCCATAGCATGAATATTATTTTTTAAACATTAAAAAAAATATTAGTTCAACCTCCAACATAACCATCAAGTGAGAAGTAACATAGTCAATAAACACGCTAGTTTAAACAAATCAACCTCAATTTTTCTCATCCAAATTCTTACGAAGCCCAATTTTAGAATTAAAATATAAGTCATTGAACACGCTAATCGTTTGTCTTGAGTCCCAAAATTAAATAAATGCTTTTGATTACTTGTATGTTTGTATAATATTATGACCAAGCTTAACATCTTGATAAAAAAATGAATCTCGTAGATGACGATGAGTGGGTAAGAAAATGATGTATTAAACTCAAATCTCATCTTTTTTCCATGAACTAGTAAAAAACAATTTATATAGAAATGAATCCTATTTATCAACTTACTTTGAAAGTTTTGCTAGGCCATCATTTTCCCAAGTATAGACTCCTCATCTATATGTTAATGATGTAGACATTTGTGTAGTACTTTTATTTATTTTGAGTATAGTGATGTATTTTTTAAAGTATTTTTAACTTGAAAATGTATTAAAATAATATTTTTTTATATTTTATTTTATTTTTACCATTAACCCATTAAAATCATCATCAAACATTAAAAAAAGGATTCCCAATACAGAGCATATTTGGAGTGGCAGGCACTCCAAATAGACTGCATCTTGACAAGGCAAACTTGTAGAGTGCAAATTAAATGACTAAATAAGACGTTGAAATTGACTTGTAAGAAGACGCGGTGATACTGTTTGTTAATGTTGAGCCTTGGGTTGCAAGGAAAATGATGCTTAATTTCACTTGAAACTTGTATATCTTTATTTTATATATTGCGAATTCTTTAAGAAAATCCCCCAAGACAACCACAGTTAATGATGGCAACTTACCAAATGAAGTTGTTGCTGAAGAATCGATTGTTAATGATTTTAATTTATAGATGCTTGGAAGTATAGTGTTGGTTATTTAAAAAAATATATGTTTTTATTTTTATAAATTATTTTTTATATCGGTACATTAAAATGATCTGAAAATATTAAAAAATATTATTTTAAAATAAAAAAATTTAATTTTTTTTAAAAACACTTTTAAAATGTGAAAACAAACAAATAGTTACCAAATCAAATTAATAAATGGGAAAAGTTTTGAGTTGGATTTTTTTGTTTTTTTGTTTTTGGCATAGAATTAATAATAAAACAGTAATATATATACTTAACTCATCAGATTAGCAGCAATATTCCACTCCTTGAAATCTTATAGTCCAAGGAAAATTAAAGATGATTATGACTTGTTCATTATTATGTCTCCTTCCATTTTTCCAATGTATTGCGTGTGCCTATATGTACATTGATCGACTTGATTAACATCTTTTTCAAATACGTAATTTGAAAAGGATATATGTTATTCAAGTCGATCAACATATATATATATATATATATATATATATCAAATTAAACACAAGTGTTCTAGCCAAGTTATTAGCCCATATATATAATTTATCAAATTAAGGTATAAATTAGCATGCCTTGGAGTTAAAGTTACTGGATTTCTAGCAGTATAGGGTGTGAAATCTGTCCATGGACATTGAGATATTGACACTTGTGAATATTTCACACAAGTCCAAGATTCTTCCTTGCGAAATTTCACACTGCAAGAAAAAAGTAGGGTTTTTAACCAGCTAATTTTGTTAGTTTTCAAGGTTTTTTTTTTTCTTTTTGTTGAAAAAGCTGCCATTTAATCACATAATCAAAGGTGGTAATTTCCAATCAAGAGAGCTCTAAACTATTCTTTTTTCTTTCTTTTTTATGATATCAAGAAAGAGTTGAACCAAAGATTTTCTCTGAACTTTACTTTGAGTCGGTATTTTTAATTGGAGAAGAGTTTCAAATGGAATTCTTCAAGCTCTTCCCAAACCGCCATCGCAACTACTTGTTGAAAGTTCTAAAGTCTGTTGGTTCCAAGCACCCAGACGGCAGATCAAACTAAACGATCCTTCCTTGACATGCAGGAGTTAAGGCACCTGCATAAATAGATATCAAACTCAGCCCGGAATTCATCTAGCCAAAAGAACGTGTTCTAGATTATATAAGTTGGCTTGGAGTAATTTGCATCAACATAAAAAAATTATAAATAATAAAATTTAAAATACTATTTCAAAAATTTTTTTATTCTAGGTTAAAAAGATATTATTTTATTATTTTAAGTTAAACTATTTAAACTTAAAAGATTTTTTTATTTTATATTAAAAAAATAATTTTTTTCTTGTAAACATAGAACATATACACTAAAGGATTTTAAATTCTATATTAAAAAAATAAAATATTCTTCTAATATTTATATAATGAACTTTAAAATAGGTTACTAATCAACTAAAATATATATAAAAAAAAGGTCTTTGTCTTAGATAAAAAAACATTTAAAAAAAATTCTTTACCAAATTTTAATGATTCAACTAGATTTTTTTAAAGTCAATTACAATCTTGAATTTTAAATAAAATAAACCTAGTTAAAGTTGCAGGTTGACCCATTAACTCAAACAGGTTTAATAAGTATACCTCCATATGCACCCATCAAAGCCTTAATCTCCTCCAGACCCAAGGCATTCATGGACATGGACCAATTCATCGTATAGGCCTACAAATTTGCAGCCCATTCTGTTCTTACATCAATATTATGTGGAGCTTCGAGGCATTCATGGACATGGACCAATTCATCGTATAGGCCTACAAATTTTCCAAGCCCATGCTGTTCTTACATCAATATTATGTGGAGCTTCGAGGGAGTTTTGCATCTTGCAAAATCCACAATTATTAAGAAGAAACATGCTGGGAATTATTTTTTTGGTATTGTATTGTTATGAAGTAAGAATGTGATGGTGCAGCTTTTATTCCTTCAAGCATCAGGCTGGCCGTCATTTATTGATATAAAGAAAAGCGATGGTATACTTACTAGCCAAGCAGCTCTCCTAGGCCATGGCTCAATTAAATCTTAGCAAATTACAACCACCAGTTTGATATGTAGCAGGCCAACAATTACTGGTATGGTGCAAGAATTAGGATAGTTTTAAAGAGCCTATGACGAAATTTAATCAGTCAAGAAACGGGAATTTTAATTTCCAGTGTCAACAAGGACACCGGAGCAGAAATGCTGAGCCTGTTACGTGCATAAACTTGTAACAGTCTTAAAAGCAATATAATCTAATTAACGTACTCGAAAAAAAAAAAAACAGAATCATGCAGCAAGCATAAGATCTGCGCGTTACGTTAGCAATAGGAGACAGATGGGTCAGCAAAGGAGTACCGAAATGAAATTGATGGAGGTGCAGTTTAGGGCTTGGCTCCATGGTACTAGAGTGCCAGGTTATAATCTTACAATGCATCAACAGTTTACGTTGAGCATAATTTATCAACTTGATGAATTTCTCTCATATGCAAGGAATCAGCCTCAACGAGGCAGGTCAGAATCAACATACAGGAAACCTGAAGAAACTTCATCTCCCCTTGGCGGTGCAGGGATCTGCACAGTCAGCGATAAGAAATGGATGGACCAGCAAAGGAGTATCGAGATGAAACTGATGGAGGTGCGGTTTCAGGCTTGGCTCCGTGGTACTGGAGTACCTGGTTATAATTTGATGAGGCATCAGCAGCATTTGTTGAGTATAATCTATCCACTTGATCAGTTGCCCTCCTACGCAAGTGATCAGCCTCAAATAGGCAAGTCTCTCTAGGACCATCAGCATAATAGGAACCTGAAGAAACTTTATCCCTCCTTGGAGGTGGCAGATATGCATCTGCAGATGAAGCACCATAATGGTAAGTATAATATGGATCCCTTGTATATGGGTCCAAAGCAGGGAGAGAAGAACCAGATGCAGTTGTGGTTATCGAAGTAGCAGCTGGCAGCAATTCACGTATACCACCAGGATTGTATGCCTGATTCAAGTAGAAAGGATCGGCCACAACAGCTTCTCTCTGCAAAGGTACCATGTCTCTGTATATAGGGTAAGGCTGTCTAAGAAGGTGCTCTCTTTCCTGGTCTCTCGAGTATGGGCCTAGAGTAGACGACATATGAAGAGAGGGAGCCAAGTTTATTCCCTCTCCTGAAAGGCCATAAGTTCTTCTCTCTCCTGAAAGGCCATAAGTTCGATAATCCTTTTCACTCATAAATAAATCACGTGGAATCTCATCTCTATGTGTAGAGCCCACCTCCCTGTACTCAACCCGTCGATCCCTCACATCAGAGAGCACAGGATAACTTCTAGCATCATAATTGGCTCTAGCAAATGCTTCCCTATCTGAATGGATCCGCAACTCTCTTGCTCCCGCATAAAGTTCTCTATCCTGAACAGTTACAGTTAGTGGAGAGTGGACAGGCGCTCTAACCGGTGGGAATAGTGCACTGAGCTTCCGAACCTGAAAGAAGAGTAGATATAATAAACAACTTCAATGCATGAAGAAAAATAATTCATACCAAACTACCAGATTAACCGACCAATTTTTACCTGCTGAAAAGTTAGTTCTGTTTTAAACTTGTTCTTCTCATTATAGTTGTCCTTTATAGCCTTCTTGAAAACACTCTCATCAATTGGATAGCAGTCCTTGTGAACATCAAAACGCACCTACAATTATAAAACATCAGCAAGCAGATCTTGCAAAGTTGACAAGAAAACAAAAATGTGACTAAAGAGAAGTTGGCCTTATAATTAAAACAAAACCTGAACTGGAAAGGAACCACCAAATGCCCTGGGCTCCAATTTTACTCCACCAGAAGAGGATGCTTCATAGATACCATACATAAGTTTCAGATCAAAATCATACAGGAAAAGCTTAAGTCCAGGTTTCACACCCAATATGAGTTCCTTTTTATTCATTGTGACACCCATGACACGATAGTGGAAGCAATCTGGCTTTGTCTTTGCACTGCACATAAAGATCATACCACCAAGCTTTTCTTTCTTCTTCTCATCCTGTTCATTCTTTTCTTTCCCATCAAGTTTCCCTTTGTTTTTTTCACTCCTTGAGCTTTTATCTGAACAACCAAGCTTTTCTTCCCTCTTCCGGTTCTTTTGACCCTTATTTGACCCAAATAACCTTTCTTGGTTCTTTTGATTCTCTTGGCCCTTCTCAATGTGCTCTTTGTCAGAAACGTTCTTTTCACTTGAATTTAGGTTTGTAGCATCACGGTGCTCATTTTTTCTACTTTCTTCGTTGCTCTGTAAGAGATTCTTCTTTCTGTTTTTTCCTTGAATTTTTGGACTGCTTTTAGCTTTCTTGGACTTCAAAGAATTGCTAGTTGAAGATTTTTTTATAGCTATAGATTTAGCCCTCAATGGTTTGGGGGTTCTTTTTCTGGATGATTGATCTTTAGTTGATGCTTCAGCATGATTTCCATCTTCATTGTTGTTGGTTTCAGACAGTGACTTAGACAATGCTTCTGTAGGATTCTCAGTTTCCCGATTGTTATTATCCATTGACTGCGATTTCATGGAGACTTCAGCCAGATTCTCAGCTTTTGTATTGTTAATCTCTTGTTCCATCACCTGCCAAGCAATCTCGCCTGCCAATCCCAATATTGACCCTGCAGACAAAGTAAGGCAGCCAAGAAGAACGAGATCAATAAATTAATTCAATTAAATTTTCAATTCTTTATATTGTGAATCTAGGCTTTTTAGGAATATGTCACGTAATAAGGAGTAATAGTTTATTTTTGGAACTAGAATATTAATAAGAAGCATGATGCTATTTAGGAATACATCATATGTAGGAATCTTCACACGATTTAGGAGTTACAGTTTACAAGGAACTGGATTATTAATTAGGAGTTTTCTATTATTTATGGTTTTCTTTTCCTATTTAGTTTAGAACTAGTAGGGCTTTAATGATGCCTATAAAAGGAGAACCTATTTTATGTAATTGAAAGACTTATGATAATGGAATAATGAGGGTTTTGGTTTAGTTGAGGGTTGTGGCCTTGAACCACTCTTTCTCCTTTCTGTAAAAGCTATCTTACTTTTCTTCTATTTTCTTTTTGTTGATATAGTAACCTCAGATTACTATTCACAGCTACTCTACGGTATCAAGCCCAATCCCTTCTAAAACAAGCCCCTAACTAATATTGTGGGACACAGATCCAAAGGTGCCTTTACACCTATGATTATAAGAAGTGGAATGAAAGTTGCAATTTGATGAAATTTTAACCATGAAATGCTTTCCTTCCATCTCATACCACCACAATGAGGATCGCAGATGCCATTCCCAATAGTTCATGCTTTAATCATTCCCAATAATACATGAGGTAAAAAAACATGTCCAAGAACAAAAATGGTCATAAACATTAGAGAGTAATTGAGGATGGAATTGTGCATATTAGAGAATAGAACACGTTATATTTGCATAATACATTCAAACTCTGTCCAATTGCAAAAATCCCCTCCCTAACAATATAATAGAAATAGAGAGAAATCACTGAAAGAAGAGAATGTCAGTGTAGAACTGGGGAATTAGAGGAAAAGATGCTTTATAACAGCTTAAAATTAAATCACTAGTTCATTGACAGAAGCAAGTTCAGATCAAAATGTATCATAAATTAAAGGAACTAAAAAGAAATTTTCAAAGCTAGAACATAATTTACTTTCTTGAGTTTTTTTCTTAACAAAAACTTCTATACACTTAGCTGAAATTTAAAAAAAAAAAAATCACAAAAGAAGTTAAGGATCTGCAATTTTGGGCTTCTAACACGAGTTATCCATAAGCGGGTCGCGATTCCAGATAGTTATAAGGATGTCAAGGGTTCCAGTTTTCCTAAATCAGGAATACCCAATTAAGACCCTATTTTATCAAAGATCAAATTCAAGATGGTTGAGTATAACGTGCACATACAATATAACTAGTGATCCAATTCCTACATAGGTTATTTCAGATCTGTACAGTGCATCAAGCACAACAAACAATTAGATGTTGATGTCATATCTAAACTGTTGAAGGATCATGTATAATGAAACGAATCTACATAGGTTGTTTAATAGTAAATGCTGCATCACATTCTCATTCTGTGTACTGTAAAGCACCATGCCCCGTGTAACTTAGAAACCCATGGAAACCTAGCTAAAAAATCATATGATTTTGTTTCTCATCCTCCCTGCCCATTATACTCCTTCAGTTCTTTACCATGCATATGCATACAGGTTGCAGTAATCATATAGGACACACCATTCAAGCCTTCTACAGAAAAAATGAGAACCCATTAAGGAGAACCCATTATAATACACATGATTTAGTTCATTAACAGTTTTAAAATCCTTCGTAAACAATCGATGAATGTAACCAAGCAATGCATCAAGTCCTAGGTTCTTCACCCATATACCATCCTCCTCTTGCATGCTTAGTTATACCTTCAAACGCTCAAAGACCAAATATTTTGCGCTTGCAACAAAACTGTAAATTCAACAATACTACCATTAAACTACGTTAATTCTCAAATCAAAGTAACAATTTGACACCAAACAAAACACTCCAAACCACTGATTCTTAACTATAGATATTCACAACCCTTTCTTTTCCAGAGAAAAACATGAAAACCGCAATGCATTTAAACTATCCTAAAACCGATAGCCACTAATTCCCGATACATCTTCATAAACCTAATGCCAAGTTTCTACCACATGGATTCTCACTTACCATAAAAAAAATCAACCCGGATAAAAAGAGACAAAAAATCCTAACTTTCCTAATCAAGCAGCAAAAAACCTAATCCAGATAAAACATATTCTAGTCAAGCAAACAATTTACACAATGAAAACACAAACTTCCTTGATCTTCCAATTCAAATAGCACCAAACACAGAACGATCAATTGAAACCAATAAAAAATATGCACAAAAAATTGAATTAAACACACAGAACTCAAAAATCAACAAAACCCATTATTTTTTCTCTCTTAAACGTAATAACCGAGTTCAATCATAAGAAAAACGTAATTCAATAACTAAAGTTCGAAACTTTACCTTAATTTCTTTCAATTTCTCTGCGTTTTATCAACAAGCAGAAAGTGGGTATGTGTAAAATCAATGTAGTTCCATAATTTAAGAGAGAGTTGCGGGGCGGTTTTCTTTTTTTATTTCAATTATAAAATAAGTTGTTGCTATTAATAGTAATGGCAAATGAGGGCGAAATAGATTATTTTTGTGTTTTTTTTTAAATATATATTATTTTTTATTTGAAATTATTTATTTGTATTTTTTATTTTTATTAAAAATAAAATAATAATATTTTTTTAAAGGTTTATAGTAATGATTATTTTAAAAAATTACTTAAAATATATTAAAATAATATTTTTTAATTTTAATTTTTAATATTAGTCGATTAAAATAATTTAAAAATATAAAAAATTAATTTTTTTTAAAAAAAACTTAATTTCTTACAAACACTACCCTGGACAACAGATTTGGCGTCCAAAGCTTAAACTCCACCGTTTTGGATAGAGTGTTCAACTATTTAAGTAATTTCCTTCGTTTACTAATTTAATTTGGGAGTACAAACTAGTCAAGGTAGACTATGCATTATGAATATATTACTCAATAATTTGATAATTTATTATTATTATTATTTTTAAAAAAAAATTAAGAGCAATAGCTTTAAACTTAGCAATGCAATCTCATAGTAAGATCCAAGCCAAGAATCGATTCCACGAACCATAGCCAATGCATCAATCCAAACTATAATTTCTTTAAAAAACATTCTAAAACCACGTTTCAATGCTTTTTTAAAAAAAAAAAAAACTAAAAACAACATTTAACACCTTACATGCTGGTTTCCCGATCGACCTGCCATGGACAGATTTTATAATATGGTAACGAGTACAAATTTTTGTTTTGGTATGATGTAGAAGCATAAATAAGAACATAAACGAGTTAAATCATCAGTTGGTAAGAAGCTCTAAGCCAAAAAAAAGAAAAAAAGAAAGAAGAAAAATAAGACCAGCAGATCACAAAATTACACTGATAAGCTGGATGCGGATCATTGCCATTTTTGTTGTATGATCAACTGCCTGCTTCAAAGTTTCATAGAGATAAGCACTTTGTCAAGAGCAGCACATTCACTTCTTTCAATTCTCAGTGCCAAAACTTATGGTGATCATATCCTTTATATTCACGAAGTTACAAACACCATTTTCCAACAGTTCAATACGAGAAATATCAAAAACAGGTGTGACTTGTTCAGTCAAGATAAACTTTAACATCAATCCCATTATCAATGAGAGACTGAACCACTGCTCTTATCTTTCCTTCAAACTTGTCCCTTTCCCTAGGAGTATAAGAGGCAGTATATACATCAGCTTCTCTTGCTCTATCAGCTAAGATTTTCCCAACGGATAAACATGCAGGAATGTCTGAGCGGGACTTGAGCACAGCTTTAATGTCTTTAGAGTTGGTACCAGCAACTGCTACCTGCTTGCTGGTCACTCTATGAGTGAGCGATGCTGAAACAAAACGCTTTGAAATAAAAACATCGAGTGTAAATGGCTCCATGTATGCTACAGTCCGCTGTTTAAATGATAAATGCTTGTTTGGGTTCTTTGACTTTTTCCCTTTCTGGTACGTGTATGGCCTGCTGTTATCATCATCAAGGAAATCTTCCACCCCAAAAAAGCTTCTGGGTGCACAATGAGCCTGCAAGGAAGCAATATTAGGAAGGAGTTTTCCTAACTGAAAGAACACAAAGTACAAATATCGTGAATTCTTTCCCACATGAGACATCTAAACAATTGTCTCCCTTCCGGTCTACCAATGTGGGAAGCAAGTATTATTGTTCTTCAAGTCGCAAAGAACTTCCAAACACATATTGCTTGGAAATTTTAGCACATACAAAGGGGGAGAGAAAAAGAAATAGATCCATATGAAACCTTACCCCTATTCATCGCCATATGAAAACTCAATCTATTCAATCCTTGGCAATAGATGACTCGTAGTGTAAAACTTTTGACTTCTTTTCATCCACAAATTTAATTAAATGATATATGAACATACAGATACTGTACTTGTCACAAAAACTTCTTATTCTGGATCATGCCCTGTGGTCACACCACCAGTAGTAGAAGTATATTATGAGTATTACTAATTATACTCAAGAACCAAATTAACTGTCTCTACTCTCCCACGAGAAAACCAGAACTCAGTGAACAACACCTATGGCATCTCTGCTGCATCATTTTCCAATCCTAACATGCAATAAGCAGCGACAACAAAGTGAATGAGAATGATGCAATTAAAACCCAACACCCTTGGTTTCTCCAATGATTGCAGTTCTCACAAAAACCTTTATCCTTTACATAAACTCATCGCATATTTGTTGTCGGTCACTTGACGGAATACCAAACCGTGCAATTTCCTCACTCCAAATGCACCGCAATTACCATGATAAATCAAATGGATGGCCCTGAAGGGGATTGGAATTAGGTTTTAAATTTAAATTCAACCCTTCAACAGGCTAAGAACCTTAGTCTGTAAACCACTCACTCCACCAACACCAAGATGATCACTACTATAACTTCTGATTTTGAAAATTACAGAAGGAACAATAGGCAATACAAATAAAGCAAATTGAAAGACTAGTGTTTCTTTTTCTAGTCCCTTCAAATGCAGATAGTTCATCATTACATTAATCCACAGTGATTGATAAATAACCAAATATTTACACAAATCCATCAGATTAACCGAACGGGTATCTATACAAACACAAGATTTACAACAAATAACATACCTGTCCATTGTGGAATCCAGTAATAGGCACATACAACCCAGGCCTTAACTTATCTCCTCCATTTACAAAAAACCTCTTGTTCAAAACCTTTCCAAAAACTTGCTTCAACATGTTCCACTCACACCCAACAAAACTTACTCAGCTATTCACTAGCTCTATATTCACCTGTTAACCAAAACAAAATGAACCATGGATTAACTAAAACAACACTAAACGGAAAAGCATGAATCAAGCACATAAGCAACGAAACAACTAGTTGAACATGTTTATATATCAAAGAGAGATAAAAGGGAAGTGTAGATTCTCTTATTTAGTAGGCATTTTATCTAACAGTTGGAGTGCAAAAAAACAATGAGCAAAACAAGAGCGAAGTTAATAGAAAGGGATTGTTTCAAGAGAAAGGAGCATCGTAGAAAGCAAATGCTGAATATAAACGTGTATGAACCATCAAGAAAAATGAGAGAGACAAACCTGGATAGTCAGGAAGGCCAGAAAATTCCTCCACAAAGAGAGCGAGAGAAAACTTATATCACCGGGTATCTATCGATTGGTTTAGTAGGAGAATGGACGGTCGATTAACTGTCAAGTGTATCATTATGTATATTAATATTTGTGAAAGATGAGCCGAATGGGCATTTGGTCTAGTGGTATGATTCTCGCTTAGGGTGCGAGAGGTCCCGAGTTCAATTCTCGGAATGCCCCTTTCTTTTTGTTTTGTGTGCTTAATTTAGCCATAAGGGTTCCTAGGTCAAATTTTTGGGATAATATTAGTGAGATCACCTTGTTGATGCAAACTTAATCACAGGTTATTTCAGCTCAAATTGTGGATTTGACTCAGTTTAAGGTTTGGATATTAGTTTGTATGTTGTGGTATTATTTCAGTTTTTTTTAATTAAAACAATGTTTTTTAAACAAAATTTTTAAAAAAAATATATAAAATTAATTTGATCAAGTTAATCTAGATTTGATCAGAACTATCTCTAAATTGATTTGCAATAAAATTCAACCCATCTCATAGTTAGATTATTAAATTAGATCAAGTTCTGAAATTAACTAATTATGATTCAAAGTATTATTCTCCTTCTCTCTCATGTTTTTTATCAAAATAAAATTCTTTTACACAAAATCAGCTTTTCTTTAAAAGCTTTTATCCATGTTATTCATTTTTTCATGCATATATTTTTTTCATGTTATTCATTTTTTCATGCATATATTTAAAAAAAAAAATTGTTGTAATGCTTTTGTAACTCAAACATTGTATTATTCCAACTCCCACACATGTCAACAGCCATAATTTATTTAGATATGAGGAGTTTACATGTCAACTTTACACTTAGACCGAATTAAAAGTTTATTTAATGGTAAAAAAAAAATATGTAGACAATGTTAGATTTTTAATTGATAATAAAAATCTAAATTACACATTGAAAACATGATAAATGGTTGAATAAAGTTAATGAAAGATTATATGTATAAAAAATGATAAAAATATGTTATTAATGGGTCAAATAAAAACTACATCAATGTGTCAAGATATGGACATTGATAAAGAGATATAATATCGTATATGCTATTCATAATATTTATTTAATTACCCGTTAGCTTGTTTTGCAAGCAAAAATTAAAATTTGGATGGAAAACAAAATAATTTACTAGCATGGTTCCTTTGCTTTTTATTTGTTCAATGTCGCACCATGTTGTAGGGCATTTGGATGACTTGGTTCTAAATCCAACCATAATGGAGTTGGCTTAATGCGTGCCATTTGACTTAGCAGGTGCCATGTGACCAAGAAGTTCAATCATGACTCGATCACCTCATTCAAACCCTAATCTGGCTCCAAAATAAATTTTAAGACACTTTCGTTTCAGACTTGTGCTTAAACTCGATTAAGCTTAAGCGCAAAACAACCAAGTATCAATGGAAGAAATCAGAAAACAAAAGGAGTTCGGCAACATCATATTGGATTGGCCCCCTCTAACCAGTTTAACCCATTAAATGCATAGTTAGGAGCATGACAGGACCATAATGAACTAACCCGATTTAGCCAATTGTCTCTTAAGTTTCCCTTTGCTTCCTTTCCCCTCGGTTAGGCTGAAGTTTGTGACTAAACTACAGAGCCACAAAAGAACATGGGACCAAAATAATAAATTCATCCGAAGGAAAGCCAGATCAAAGTTCCACTGATAAATCAGTGATGCCAGCAACCCACATGGAAAGGAGAAAACAAGTCAGGAACATTTTGCAGTTGGAAGCAACAGAATCAAATCGAGAAAATAGACTTCAGGATTATAACATCAAACAAGTTCAATTTGCAATTATACAGAATGAACACTTGTCATGCATTTCTAATCATATTCTTCGAAGCTTCAAAATACAACAAGA